CTTTTCATCTACTACCAGGGTGAAATTGTGTTTGCTTATTAAGTTTTGCCCATCCTTATTACTCCTATGATATATATCTGGTGGGGAAAAAGTGTGCATCCATGGATATTCTGAGAAAATCCAAAATAGCTACAATTTGACATAGGAATACTAATGGGTGGGTTTCAATTGCGGCATGTGGTTCATTATACAATTACATTACCATGGGTTTGTTTTAAAAATAATCTACATTTTTCTTTCCATTTATTATTACCCCTATGATGTAAACCTCGTCTGTAGCATGTGTGTATCTTTGGGTATTCTGAAAAAATTCAAGATATCTGCCTTTTGTCATTAGAATATTCGTACACATAATCAAATAATGCCAGAGATACACTGAGTACAATTTAAATGTAGTTAACTTTTGATTGTTTTTAAACGTTTTCCCTTTCATATCCTATTTATCCTTATGAAAGACTTTGTGTGTGTGTAGAAAGTGTATGTATCCTTGGGTACTATTCGGAGAAAACCGAGGATAGCTGCCAGTTGCGATAGGAATATATCATTCAAATGCACAGAGGTGTCAATTAATGGAACAGTTCAGACATTGATTCCAACATGAAATAAAGCCGTTTGATGTTCAAACACGTTGACATCCTTATTAACCTTACTCTATATAAATCTGGGGTGTAGCAAGTGTGCATCTAGCGTATTTGAGAAAATTCAAGATTGCTGCAATTCACAATAGGAATAGTACAGTCAACTAGTGCCAGAGAGACATTGGGTTCATTATAAAATGATTTTTGTTTCTTGGTATTTCACATTCTTTTTGGACTTTGAGTTATCTATCTGGTGGATTACAAGTGTGTACCGTTAAGTATTTTGACAAAATATCATAATGACCCTGATTTGCCGTAGAAGTGCCTATAAAATCCAATGCACCAGTTTTCCTATGGGGAAAAGAAGGCCATCTTGGATTTCCCCAAAATGATCAAATATGGACATTACTTACCTAACAGACATGTATCATGGGATAATAATAATAATAATAATAATAATAATAATAATAATAATAATAATAATAACAAAAAGAAAAACAACTGAATTTAGCTTCATTTTATATTGAGGCCTATCTCTCGCAGGTATTAACTTAACCCCACCTTCTATGGCTATTGACAGCCATTTTGTTTTGTTTCAAAAAGGATACACATAACATTCTCATCACATATATATTATGTGGATTAAAAAGATGTGTAAAATACTCAGAAACAAGCCTAATTTATCAATTAATATTATATCTCCATGGCAGAAGAAGCCCTATGTGTATACTATAGTGTTTCTTTGATATGGCGACCATCTTGGATTTTTCTCGAAATGCTTGAGAATAAAGGTTAGTTACTTACCAAAATATATTATTTCTGTAATAAGGCACTCAGAAACAAAATTAATTAGATAGTGGGCAATGCATCTTCCTAGTTGGCATTAGTTGAAAACCCTTGTACATGTTCTAGTATTCCTATGCCATACGGCGGCCATCTTGGATTTTCAAAAAGTCCAAGGACACTCGTTTTTCATCTGACATACATGCATAATATGGGTAATAAGGATGTGGAAAACACTGAGAAAATACTTTATTTGATAAAAATCAACAAAAGTATGTATATATTTCTACAAAATTTCACAAATTGGCGGCCATTTTGGATTTTTTGGCCAAACGGTAATTTTTTTTCCGTGGGCTACGGCTCTAATTTGATTAAGTATGTCAAAAGGTACCCACATGCAAAATTTGGTGCTTTTATCCGCCGTGTCACGATTTGGCCATTTTTTTGCCCTAAGCAACCGGAGTGTCGATTGACATGCAAAAACTCTTGCTGTATTTCTATAGTAAATACACACACGCACACACACACACACACTACCTGATATTGACCATATACGGATGGTAGAACCATTGCTTCCACGACCTATAATCTTCAGTAATCCCCCAGTGTCACCATGATAAGAAAGAAGGTGATACCAAAAGTACAAGCAGCGCGTAGTCGTGGATCTAGGCATTGGTGGAAACTGAAGTCTGGCCTGTGAGTCTGGAAGGACCCTACTCGCCTCCATATACATGTAGTATCCATCTGAAAAAAAAAGTTAATATATTAAATCGATGGATGAGTAAATGCCCAAATAAAGAAATAAACATATTAATAAATGGATCAATGAATAGATAAATAAGTAAAAATGGTGTGTACTATACAGTGGAGATAAAAACTATTGAATTTGAATTTTTTGATAGATGTAAAAAAAACTTGGTGAATTCTAGGCCCATGAAGCCGGATGATTTATATACTTACACATTCACATGTCAGGTTAATAAATACATAGATACTATACTCCCCTACCAAAAAAGTGACACCCCAACCGCAATTACATTGTTCATACATTGCTACTAGGGTACCGCAATTTTTAATTTTTAATATAACGTAACAACTAGGCAACAGTGCATTGTGTAAATCGGGGATATGAGTAGTAGACTAGTGATCTATCTAGCTTAACCATTGAAATACCCCAACATCAATTATCTTAATATGGGTCTCCTAAGTGAGAAGGGGTACGTATGTTACTAAACGGTAGACGCATAGAAGGGAGTTTGACCAGCCGAATTGCCAGAAGGTAGGGTTGTTCCATGAGATCCATTCATGGCTTCAGATAATAATAATAATAATAATAATAATAATAATAATAATAATAATAATAATAATGCTTGTAAGTACGTTTTATCGGATTCTAAATATGCTTGAAAATATAAAAATAGCTGAGTCACAAATGTTTGAATTTATAGCAGAGTCACCAATGTACGAATGTGTGAGCTAAAATTAATATTCGGTGAAACATAATGGTCAGTGCTCTACCTTAAGTATTTCTGCATGTACATTTGCTATTGGTTACCTCCAGTCGTGTGATCACCATCGGGCCCTGTCCTATCACTCGGAGTTTCCCCTCGGTGCCGTATCCACTCAGCCTGACTGTGATTCCGGTCGAACTTGAAGTTGCAAATGGTGGGATCTTCAAATGTGCAGTTAAGCAAAACGTGTTCAGTTTGTGACGTCACAGGCTCTACCAGTGCCGTTCCTGAAATGCCGCTGGTTTTGTTCTTATATGCAACAGATGTGTGATTTTGTTAATTTAAGTGGCTATTGAAATTATCGCATAGGCCTACATAACTTACATGTAGATCTTTGGGACTATGGCACAGCTTATTTCAATTGGTACATGTATTCCAATAAATTTTGATCATGCCCTTAGAACAAACAGTTTGCAAAACTTGACTACATGTATATAAAAACATTTTACAGGTTAAAAATACGTAACATGACCAATTTGTCAGCTTATACATACCTATCAAACACGCAATTAGCATCTGACGTAGCCCCATCGACCACGCTTCCGTGCATCCACGCATTTTATCCCACATCGTACTTTCACGAATTCCTCCTCCGTCACCGAGCATTCCAGTTCTCTAAACTGACCTACTCCAATATACTGTATCATCATATATCTGACCTGTCTGTCTTGTTTATTTTGTCTATTTGCTTAATGATGCCGATAATATACTCTCTGACCACAGGGTGCGCTAAAAGTCTATTACTAAAATGTCTAAAGGCAATGTGATTTTGTATTATAATTAAAGGGATCCTGATGTCAGAGGGTACCGATAATACATGCTTTTATCGGCAAGGGGCTTGTCTCCTATTTCCTCTCCTGTCTCATTTACCCCATCCTTCTGCTTTAGTGGCGGCCTCTGTGCGAGCTGTTGATTTTCACGTGGTGGATCATAAGTTAAATGAGTTGCCAGCAAGGCAGCCTAATATACTGTTTGTTATTGCTGTTTAGATATTATTGTTGTAGGGAAACGTTTTTAGAGTCAACTGTTTGAATGGTTTGTAAGTTTGTAAAGAAAGTATGTTGTTCGTAATTTCATTTGATCTCTTTTATAATTGTATGCTAGTATATATTTACTGTATTTCTTAGTTCATTCAGAAGGCTTCTTTTATATTTTACCTTGATTATTTTACTTAAGTTCTTCTTATCATCATTATTGTTTACCTTCAAAATTTTCATTCTTTCAATTCTGTAACTGCTTTTGTTAAATATCTTTTGAACATCGTACAATATTAATCTGTCGATAAATGACTATACTTCAGCCATTCAGAGTCAGCTGTTGAACAGGTGAACTTAACACAGAAATATCACCAGTAAAGCTTCATGAGTTGCGACGAACTTAGAGGAACACATACAATATGAGCGGTGGAATTTTATTCAGCAAAATATTAATTTCCCCGTAGATTTTCCTGTAGATTTCAGTACTTTTACCTTCATCGCCAATGTATACCGTGTCCAAAGCTGCTCACATAATATCTATCCATAAACCCGTTTTTATTTTTATTAGTCGTAGAAGTCTGTAGTCTTGGTCTCAGTTTATATATGGACGTAGAGACGGTGAGTCTAAATGAAATATAAGAAACCCACTTATGGCGGTAAAGTTATACATGTACTTTAAGTACTCAAAAACAGGTTTCGTACATGTAGTTTGCTATAAAGTTTTTGAATATATGGGGTAATAAAAGGAGAGAAAAGAAAAACAGCTGAAGTTGCCAGTATTTTGTCGGTAAAGGCCTAACGCGCATTCTATGTCCAAAAAATACCTCGCTCTCATATTTTTTTCTTTATTTCTTTTCGTGTTTCAGATGATCGGGACATAAACATATCCAATGAATATTGACTATTTACTATAGACGTTGACAATTTTAAACATTTATGACGCCGCCCCATGAGCAGAACAATAAGAAGTCAACAATGAGTAAATGGCGTCACAAGGTCCTCTATGACGTCACAGAGTGAAATGACGTAACAGCCATGTCCATCTCTCCGATAGCAACGGCAACTACACAACAATGTGTGCACCAGTAAGCCGATGAGGGAGAGTCTTTTTTCCCTTTTGTGAAATGTTGTTCTTTTAAGATACCAGCAAAATGAATTCGATAGCTGAAGATGAGAGGGACGACACAGTGATTGCTGGCGCAGCACATAAGGCGTCAGGATCACAAGATGGAAGTAAAAAATTAGATAAGATTATCACTTTAAAAGAACGTTTTGAAGATATGAAGGAGCGACGTCTGCTCCCACGTAAGTACAGTCAGATGTCTTTTTTCACTCGGGAACTACCACTTGAATGCATGCTGTTCTACTGAATTAATGCTATATAAATTGCACACATTGGTATGTTAAAAAAAGGATGAGAAATAAATGTTTTGTTTTCCCCCTCAATTGTTAAATTTTCACTTCATGCAAAATCCGAAATTTATGCTAAATAACGATGAAAGAAATGCACCGAGTAAAAAATAGTATTGGTATCAGTGATACATCGTAGTTATCAGGGAGGAGTCTCCTTTTCATTTCAAAACTGCTGCAACATTTTTTATATCTAAATTCGTAACCTAATTATTCTTGTTGCCCGCTGATTTAATACAGACCTTTGAATTATATTTATTTAGGGCGAAGAACGGCTATGGGTTCCTACATTGTTCCGCCTGGAGAAAAACCTCTTACGTCGCTAGGCAAGTAGTTATTAAAGCTGTATCTTTTATTTTTATGTCGGTATATATTATCCTTTTATTTAAGATTACAGATTTAAGTGTTAGAATATTAAACTATTGATATAGTATGCATATTTTGGCCATTAGCCATGCTGTTTGTTTAATAAACAATGTTTGTTTATTTAATAAAGAATAATTCTACAACTTTTTCATGCGTTTCTACCAGGTGTTCCGTTGTTAAACGCGCCATTTGCAATTTTTCAGGCGACTGCAATCCATCGCCGTCTGATTATTACCCCAAAGACGATCTGACCAAAACAACAGCGCCTCAGGTTTTGATAGTAGGAAGGACACGCCCTCCGAAAGGTATGTTGGAAGTGACCTGAGAGCTAATCCAATAAAAGAATCACATGCGCAAAGAATGAATGACCATCTGCATTTGCGCACACTGGGGAAAATACGGTGGGATGGAATAAATTAGCGCCATTGAATCGCACGAGGGGAAATTGTTTCAGACTTGGTCTTTTCTGTTTTATATTCAATTTTAATTTATTCAATTTCAATTTATTTCTGTACTGGTACATAGATTGTCATAACCTTTATAGGTCTATCATTATCAAATTATAATCCATATACTGTATGTCTAATTAAGCAAAATAATTTTGTAACAGTGCTGTGAGAGGAAACGAATTCCAGATCATTTGCCAAGTTTTTTCTTCAATTGCACTATATATGGATTTTTGTTCATAATATTATTTTCGTATCAGTCATTAAGATACATACATCAGATTTAGCTTTGCGTGTTTTATTTTAACAGTGCGGTCCAGTTTGTGATTTTTGTCTCCACTAAATTCAAATGATTATGCTGACGTTCCAGCCAAGAAATGCCCTGGCCCCGCCGACTACGACACCAGCACGGACATGGAGTGGAGAGATAAATTCATATCACAGAAAAACAAAGGAAGGATGTGTATATACGATATTAGAAGTAGGTTGTTCTTACATTTTTTCAAAGGTCCTGTCCGTTATTATTTGTTGCTGCTAATCTTTTTACTCTTTTCCCTAATTTTTATACATTATGTTACATAATCAATAGGTGTAGCTAGGTTTAAGACTCATTTTCATAATCTTTGTCAACATATCAGAATCACATAAATTGATTGATTGATGCATTATTACATGTATATTTATTGAAATGTTCAAATAGTAATCTCTCTCTCTCTCTCTCTCTCTCTCTCTCTCTCTCTCTCTCTCTCTATATATATATATATATATATATATAATGTGATCTACATCCCGCCATAACTTGTTAATTGTAGGTGATGCCCACATTAACGACAGCATTGGGCCCTCGCGGTACAACAGCCAGTATTACAACTGCGGGACTATGGGTCCCAGGTACACTGTCCGCGCCCCTGTCGCCGTGCCCGGAGAACCACCCAACAGATTGGTGCAGCCAGTCGACACACACGGTACGTGATTGGTCCGCTTTGTGGTGTAAACATGTAACTACCCTATGATACTAGGGGCTTCTTAAAAAGCACACAAAATTAAAATATGAGCAATGCAATAATTTTGTAACACACCACCAGTATACTAGTACTTGCGCACCTTGTGGTCAGAGTACAGTCGCCATCCAACGAAATAACTCAATTGATTCGAATATATAGATTCATTTTTCTATATTTTTTCATTATCATATTTTTCATCATTATACAGATGAATTAGGTTGAGTCTTCCAAAATTGACAGGAAAACTTTTTTTTCTAAATTTAACTAAAAATAATAATAATTGGGTCTCCTTTATTTTTCTAGGTGTCAACAACCCAGGGCCCGGATACCGCCCTAGCTCCAAATACTGGGGTCGTGGGCCGGAAAAGTCATTCGGGTGCAGTAGGAAAGACGAGACTGAAGAAGGACCCGGTGAGTGTCCTGATTGAAAGCCATATAATATCTAATGTTAGGAAATGCAATTTATTAACGGTGGAATAAAAAAAAATGAAAACGGGGATGTTGTTATATGATAGTGGAGTGCATTCTCGTGAATCATAGAATCTCAATTTACGTGGAAAAACGCGTGTAACATGAAGTAACCACTTGTTCAGTAATTGATGTTTAGCTCTAGGAAAAAAGGGGGCGTTACCAATGTTTTGCACGAGAAGATAATAAGCTATTCTCCTCCTATTCCCTAGGCCCTGCTGAATACACGGTCAGTGATGAATATCGGGGTCCAGCTTACTCACTAGCTCAACGGTTACCGTCGCCTAAACAGTGGAAAGAAGGTGAGTTTTTACCTAAAGTCCGGCGTACACTCACGCTTGAAAATGCTTCGTTATATACATGTACTTTGCGAGTTCTTTACTGTTGACGCGTACTGTTTACTGGGAAGTAGTAAAGGGTTGTGTGTGGTCCTTTCATTTCCATTGTTAGCGTGCTGACAGTAGATAGTAGCAAATTAAAACTACTTCCACCTCCTTCTTAATTAGCCCAATGTTACATACCGTTAAAACAAAGAAATGAAGAAAATATCGTGGTAAAACTGATCCTACACACCCGCACGTTAGTATACTATCTCTCTCATCTCTCCCCCGCCCCACATTTACATTATAGATAGGAGAGTGGACTATACTCGATGACATTAAAATGAAGTTTCGCTAAAAATTAATTAGATATAAATAAATCCCTTTTACGTACACACTGGAAATTATTATATGATATGGTTATTCAGTATTAACCGCTATATAATTGTCCTATTGTTGTCTTCCTCTGATCTTTATCCCTTCCAAGGGCAGATTGCAAAAAACGTTAGATACAATACTTATCCCTCAGCAAGGAAATTAAACTGTCATACACAAATGTAATTCAAATTAAGTTGATTAATTTTAATTAAACTAGATTACGTTTAGTGAAATTCAATTTTCAGCCACCAGCACGACGGACAACCCCGCCCCTAACGCCTACGACCTCGGCACCACTGTGGGAGAGACGGTCGCCATTTCTATCACAGGACGACCCAAGACCAGAGAAGGTAATCCCAGGAAAGCCGTCATTTTACCTCCGCCAAGGAGGTTATGTTTTCACCCCTGTTTGTCTGTCATCAACATAACTCAAAAAGTTATTGGCCGATTTTGATGAAATTTTCAGGAACTGTCAGAAGTTGGCCAAGGAAGAGATGATTAGTTTTTGGTGGTCATCCGGATCAGGAATCAATCAATAATCAATCAATAATCAGTAATCAAAAATAAAAAAACTAAATCATTATAGAATGAAAATTTAGGGGTGAAACGGCATTGGGTTGAGACTTGCTGCCTTGACGGAGGTCTGCGCTCTTGGGGTGTTTTCTAGTTATGTTTTTTTTTTCTTTCCCGTTTCAGTGGATGATGGGCCAGCACCAAATATGTACACACTACCAAATATTATCTGTCAATCTCCCACAGCCAAAACACTGGCCTACCGGTGGTTTGAAATAAAAGGTGGGTATTTATGATATGGGGTGAAGGGAATACTCAAGTCGAAAAGTATCATTTCAAGAAAAATGTTTAAAGATATTTGCTGAGAAGTGGTTATCAAGTGTGATCTTTAATCCTTCTGATCATTGGCTATAGTATAGCAGAATATATAAACAATAAGCCCATTCTATGTTAAAACTGATTTCAGTTTGGGGAACTTTAACCTGTACACTGTTTTTTTTTTAATGCGTACCTGTATACTTGTTAAAACGCAGACGCCCAGTGCCTGTTCTCATCTAAATTAACTGGTCACAACAACATATGATAAAAGAAGCATTTCTTATCTAATTTTATTTTCAATACAGCACAGTTTTAGGTGAATCACATGCTGACCTTCAGACTGCAGTACAGTCATTGCAGGTTTAGATCATACACTTATATTCAGCTATGAGAGTCGCCTGATTATTGCATTGACCATGACCAATAAAGGCAAAAAATAAGTTTTTCATCAGAGATTGTCATGTGTTTCCTTCTTTTCAAAACAGAGGCACCGCAGCCGAGCCCCGCTCACTATTCTTTGACGGACACCAACCTGAAACGTAGCCCTGCCTACACTTGCGCCAAGAGAACAAGCGGGAACTGCTTCCTTCCGTGTAAGTGTTCACGACGGTGTGGGAATGAATTTCAAAATTACTGCATTTGAATATTCATGTACAGAAAGCATGAAAATTTTTAAAAAATCATTATAATGCTGTTTGACTTTAATCACTCACAGTACGTGATTTTAACCACATTTTTATTTTAATTCTCTTGTATAGTGACACGCGTTTCACAATAAACCACTTAAGAAATTACGGTTTCTAGTTATTGTTATCATACTACTGTTATACATATATGTTCAATGAATCAGGAACTTTGTTGACAATGTGAATTTTTACTGTGATTTTTTCCAGATGAACTATTTGCCCCAGGACCAGGTAGTTACGACCCAAATCTCAAGTATACAGAGTACAAGGCCCCAGCATTTTCTGTGAGAGAAAGAGCCAAGTCTCCTAAACGTAAGTATGTCACGATTGTTTTATTTGAGAGAGAGAGAGAGAGAGAGATGTGGGATGGAACAGCTCGTTTTCAGTGTGAAATGAAAAAAATAAATCTTTTTGACTATTCCCCCTCAAAATTAGCAAACTATGTGTTTTCATTTCCCCATTTTTTCATCATTATTGAAGTTTAAAACAAACAACACTTTCGGGCAAGTAAAGTTAAAAAAAAAAAATAAATAAACAAGTAAAAATTATGGATGAACGAAAAATAAATACCTTACATGTATATGCAACGGACATGACATGTTTAGAATATCGAAATTATTTTGCACCTTGATTTCAGACCAAGTGCCAGGCCCAGCACATTATAGTATTAAGCTCCTCCACAAACCTGACGCGAAGAAAGCACCAGGGTACACCATGGCCCAGAGGTTTGAACCTCCCTGTAGTGAGTACTCTTACTTTTCATACGTCATACTCCTCACAGTAGCCTCGTTCTCAATACTGATATAACATTTATAGTAATTAATCAAAGCTGTGAAATACAGAGGTACTTAGTGTCGAAATAATTTATGATGAATTGGGAGCCCTCAATACCATGTTCTGCTTGTATCCGGTAAAAAAGTGTCTGTGGTCATTGTTCTTCTGCTTTTAAATCTTGCTAACAGGTCTAAACCAAAAGAGACGAAGACCCTTATTTTGAATCCACAAATGAATTTTACCATGTGTCATTTTTGCTGTCTCTGTATCAAAATGCGAAATAAAAATTGATGAGGACAAAATAATTTTATAATAACGTATTTAAACGCCTTTAGATACAAACATGTCTGACTTCTATTTTAGGCAAGGTGAGCCCCGGTCCAGCAGCTTACTCTCCAAAGGTCAAGGACGAGGGGCCCCGTTACAGCATGACAAAGAGGCATCAATTTATTAAGAGTAAGACGTGTTAACTTAAAACTCTTGTTGCATGCTTTGTATATGTTGCTGATGTGTATGCACATGTTTCAAACACTGTATACCTACAAATGTGCTTGCCCAACTATCTTATCATTTTGGAAATTGAAAGAGGATTCATCTATAACGAAAATCAAATATTTTAATCATAACTGCTGAATAAGAAAAAAAAAACTTCACACATTTCGAACATTTTTTTACAGAGTTTGAGACTCCATCCCCAAACGCTTACAGGCCCAAATCCAGCTGGAAATCGCGTAAAGGCAGAGGGTTCGGTCAACCGGTGACACTGAAGAGTCGGTTCAGTCCGTACGTGTACTCTGGATTCTGTACCAAACAGCTTCGAGATCCGGTCAACTAATTATTGCAAAGATGACATTTACTGATGTTTCTTTTCTGCCTTGCTTTTACGATAACCGGTAGTTTATTTGATTAAAAAAAAACACAATGCCTTCATCATGCGACTTTGATTTTATTGGAAATGACTATAAAAAGCTGCGTTTTGTTGACTCTGTTTTTATATTTGAAACTGTGTTTAGAAATAATCATTTAATGGAAAATATAAGAGTTACATGCAACAGCAAAGCGAAGATTAAGGCGCAAAACTAAAATCATGACATGACTATAGTTTTTATTTCCTTGAACTGTTAACATGCATGTTCGAAGACGCCCCATTTTATGTACTATTGTTCCGTCTGTATACAGTGGCAGTAATTTCTTTTAATTACATATTGATAATTTTGTTCTGCAAGTGCCTTTGTTTAGTATTTGAGAGAAAATGTTCTCTGATTATTACTAAATAGTACGGTAGAATATATGCTTTGTGAAATAATATATATATTATTAGCTGCAGGTAAATACTTAAGTGGTGTCCAAATAGTGTGTAGCTCTTTGTGTCATAAGGAATGAAAACAACATCAAATTACAATGAAAGAAAAAAAGGTGTGCTCAGATTGTAACCTTGATACCTTGTGGTGCCACATCTTGTTAGTCATTTCACCACACTTAAAGCAAAATTTTATGCGATGCGTACATAAAAACCGGTTTTCAAAACTAAAGTGCAGCATCTGAGCGACCCCTATGCCTCTAATGCTTGCATTAAGCAGTGCATTTTCCACTTAAACAAGAAAGCCAACATATGTCAGAGACAAGTGCAGCTACACACAGCACTAATAAAACATTATAGTAAATGTATGCAAATTCTGACCATAAGTGACTCCTGTCACCAAGGACAGCGTTGCGGTAAACAATCGGAATTCAGTAATCACTTAACTATAGTAAATGACCCTTAAAAAAGCTGACTTGAATTGATATACCAAAGGAAAACGTTCCCAGAAAGGTATTTTTTACTATTTACCTCTATTTTCCCCAAACATGCCTAGTAAAACACGCGTTATATACAAAATACATGACAAAAAAGTGTTTTTAACCTCTATCTATGACCCATTTACAACTTTAAAGCACATACTGATATAGTGCGTTACTGGGCTAACATTTCCACTCTCCAGGGTGATCATTCAAAACGAAATTTAAAGTTTTCCATTTCTCCATTCTCTTTCTTTTTCATGAGGTACACGTGGTCGATCTCTGCTTCATCTGACAGCATGGTCCTCCAGGTTCCTTTCAGGTAGTCATTGGAGTGGATGGTTCCCGCTGGGGCGTACACTGTATGACGAACTGGAACCTCAAAGGCAGTTAAGTGGATTTCATCCTCCCCCACAAACTTGCCTATGACGAAAACTCCGGCATCTTCGTGCAAGGGGCAGTCCAGATGGGAAAACTGGTGTACCTCTATCCCAGGACCGCGGTCTTCAACGTAGTCTTCTAGATACTGGTTCTCGTACGTGAAGTCTTGGATCCCATGCCTGTACAACAGAGACACCTTCACCTGCTGTGCATCGGCAAAGCTGCATCCATAGTACCGCAGCCGCTCATTTGTAGCCAAATCGACGGCAATGACGTAGTTGAAATCGGCGGGGAAAAGTAGCTCTCCCGATTTCCCAGGCACACCGCTAGAAACCCAGCGAACACCTTTGACAGCTGTGTACTTGGGAACGATTGGGGGCAGATCACTGAACAGTGCGATGTCTTTGAGGCTGTATTCCCCGGGAACGATATCCGCAACCATGTTGTCCTTTCCGGTCATCACGGCTTCGCCAGATGCACCAAGTCGGCGGAAACTTGCAAACTTTTCCCATCTATCACGAATGTATTCTTCCAATTCTCCGGCGGCTGCCTCGTCATATTCTTCTTTAAGTTCCTTATCCAGGAGGTCGATGACGTCCACTTTTGGTGACTGTGTTCCTGAACTCGCTGGTGGATCCATGCTCACTCCAGACTGTGCGAACAAATTTTCGAAATCTGCAAATGTAATTGTATCACCGTCTTTTTTATTCAACTTGCTGAACCCAGCCATCAGTTTATCAAGTCGGGCGTTCCTCTTCTTTTCCCAGTAGTATTCCGTGAATTCTTTGAAATCAAGTGTTCCGGAACCGTCACGGTCGGCCTCCATGAAAGCAGCTCTTAAAGCAGTTGTTCGTTCACCCGTCTCTTGCTCGTCTAAGACATTCCTCATAAAATACTCTTCAAACTCCTGAAAAGAAATTCGCCCACTTCTATCCTTGTCTATAGTATTGTAGACCAAGTTGATTTCTTTCTCTGTCAGGGTAAGACCAAGACCTTTGAGGAAAGTGGAAAACTCTGTCGGATCGATCCACCCATTTCCATTGGTATCCACTTTCATGAACACGGCTTTAAGCTTATCTTCACCTTTCTTTAGCACGTGTTCTGGGACTTCGTAATTCTTTTTAGCGAATTGCCACCCCGTGCGCCTTGAAAGTGGTTGATCTTTTACAGTCGGGTTAACCTGGCCGTTTACCACATCTTTTGTTGTAGCTTCAAGCACATCTGCCCGTATGTCAATGTCAATATCGGACGCAGATACGGGGATAGTATTCTTCGCCACCTCTCGCCTGCGTTGGCGTTCCTTTAGCATCTTTTGCACTAGGGTAATGTTGATTTTGTAACTGTCCATCACTTCCTCAAGGCAATGAAACCAGTCGGGACCTTCTCCGTCGGTTTCCCCAAACTCGTAAATTGCCAAAGCATCTGTTATCATAAAGCATCCAGACAGCTTCTTGAAGAAGCTTCGGTAATCAGGCACAGTTTCCATCATCAAGTTCTTATCAATCAAAATCTGACCCTTCTTGAAGCTCCTCCCTTTTTCAACCGGTGGTTTTTCGTAAAATTCGAGACGATCGGGTTTCAGGATGAGCCATATCTTGGACCAGTTGGTCCAGTTTCCTATTCCAGAGCAGTTTTTCGAACGCTTGTTGATCCACCCAGATTTCATGACCTCTTCAACCAACCATTCATGTATGTGTTTGATACACATATGAACAGAAGCCCGAGGAGCCACGTGAAAGAAAACTCTTTCCAACGTATCCACGACCTCCTGGAACGTAGACCCCGTGGTCTTGAAATCACACTGTATGGTTTTCCAGTTCTTGTTGAGTTCAGACGCGACTTTTTCGCAGAGCCACTGACTTTCATCCTGACAAACAACTGGAGGATAGCTACCCTGGTCGGATAAGCGATTCACGATTTGCCAGAGACAAAAAAGATCAGATTCTTCTAACTTACTTTTATATGCCTTCTTGGCCAATTGCCAGCATGCTCTCTCTATGTCGTTGAAAAGTACGCCTATGGGAACCCCCTCGTTAAGTAGTGATTTACAGACAAAAGTTTTATAGGTGTCGAAGGAGATGGAGTCCCCTTTAAATGTCTCATCAAACTTGTGTTCGGAATAATGCGTCGACTCAAGAATGGCAAACTCGGCGGTGATTTTCTTTAAATTCTCCCGGAGAAGCGATTTTGAACCTTGGTTCAAAGCATAGGCGGCTTGCCACACGCATACCAATTGTTCTCCGGGCATTGTTCTAAAATAAAGAAAAGCATTGCGAATAAATATTGTATTGTCAACCGTGAATGAAGTTACAAATAAAAGTCGTCAGTGTTTCGTCTCTACAAAATCACTACCCCCACCCCACTTTCGAAATTGGACATTTATGCACTTCAAAAACTATTTTTCCTCATTTAACAATGGGGCGCAATGTTAATAACGTAGCTTGCTTCACATTAACCGCAATATGAACAGACACCGCAAGTATGATATTTAAAACATTATAAAAGTGTAGTTCGACATTACATCGAAATACACCCGCGAGTAGTCAATGTAACCTGCATTATTTTTTTTCGCTTGAACGCACAGACACGGTTGCAGACAGAAGAGAGGAGTGCCCCTCATATAAAAGAAATGCACGTGCAGTTATGATTTGAAGTGCCGGTCATGGGATACTTGAACTCTACTAATAATGCCATTTGTATTGACTGTGTGTGTGTGTGTGTGTGTGTGTGTGTGTGTGTATGTGTTTATAAGAGTGTTTGTGTCTGCTAGTCTTTTTGTTACGTGTACCTGTGTGTATTATGATCTTTTTTGTACATTTGAATTGGGTGACTATATTTATCGCTGAGGCTTGTGGTTGTATACACGTATGTTGTGCCATGGTGTAATCCTCGTATACCGCAACACGATTCAGTTTTCTCTTCTTAAAGATTCCTCTTCAAGTATATCTCTACTAAACAGCCTCTTAAACCCCCTACGTTTTTAAAATGTGTTGTTATGCTGTGTAAATTCCTTTGTTTAGTCTACTGTAATAAGTCACATAAAACACTGTAACACTGATCGCCTACCTCGAGCAACAAGACGGCCCTATGTATCCTTCTTCTTTGCGTCTAGGTGTGAGCTACACGAGCAGGCCCGTTCACCTTGTTCCGCACTAAGCAGACTTATCTGGGAAGGGGGAATAAAGAAAATATATATCAAGTAAACTATCCTGTGTAAATGGCCTCATTGAAGGGACAGAAGTAGCTACCTTGTAATAACAATGAATGAAAAAATAGGTTAAGTCAGGTCACTGAGGTGTGGTGTAAACTCGCATTCCTCTGATGAGATTCAATCTTCAAAATGTGTTGTCGTAGTTCTGTGTAAACGTTTCGTAGCACAGCTGAACTAGTGACGGTTATACTTTCAAAATGCGACTCCAAACGGTTTCACACACAGTTATTAGGGGCCATATTAATTCTGCAGCTGTAAAGACTTATAGACATTTTGTCTGCTTTCCCTACACAATTCATCGCTGCTCCGTGGGGCGTGAAACTGTGTCATTTGGGTGACATACACTCACACACACAAACACGCGGACTTGTGCCTCATTACATACTTGGAAATAAAAAATAGCTACTGTAAAAGCAACTCCTTTAAATTTCTGCGCGTTGTTTCCCCTTTTTACTTCCGCCAAGGAGGCAATGTTTTCACCCCTGTTTGTCTGTTTGTTTGTTTGTCTGTCATTAACATAACTCAAAAAGTTATGGACCGATTTTGATAAAATTTTCAGGAACAGTCAGAAGTGGACCAAGGAACAGATGCTTAGTTTTTGGTGGTGATCTGGATCAATAATCAATAATAATAATTAAAAAAAAATGCTGCCTTGGTGGAGGTCAGCGCTCTCGGTGTGCTTTTCTAGTTTTATCTATTTATTTCTATTTTTGCGCCTTGATACAGGGTTCATACATTCATTAAGAACGCAATATTCCCATCAAGAAAAAAAAGGAGCACATAGTCACCTTTTACGTTTTTCTTTCGGATAACGAACATACTATATTTTGTTGGCGGATCAGTTAGTACTCAGATCATCTAAACTGAATGGGGCCTAGGATTTCTTGTAGCACTCTGTAGATATCATATTAACATGAATAATCAACGATACAATAAGACGACATAAAAAGTTACAAAAGGCCCCATGACTCCACCGTTCAGCTGACAAAAATACCGAACACCGCTACCCGTGCATAGGTTTGATTCAAAGGATACTTTTTTCCGTTAATGGATATATATAACTATGAGTTATGTTCATTTCTCATTTTTCACTAAATCCATCGGTCTGAAGTCATGCCATTAACCATTCTTAAATTACATCACAGCGTATTCACTCTGGGCTCCCTGGGAGATATTTCTCCTTTTATAACCTTTTTTGTTAAGAATCTATTAATCAGACCGGAGCGTACGTGCATAACGTTACGTATCCTTTCTCAGGTTATACATACTTTTTGATAATGGGCTCTGCGTTACGTGGAGGGGTTACAATATTGGGGAAGTAAAGGACACGCGTAGACCCCTATATGCATCTGGTTCTGCTTTTACTGCCGACTGGAATGAGCAGGGCTCAGTGAATTACTTGTACCGTTAACTTTCTCGATGTTGTTGCCCTTGAGCTGCGTGCTACAATAAACTGCAAAACATGTTTTTTTATCTAACAAAATTGTGAAATTACAGTGTCTTACATGGAGCTCCAAAATATGGAATGCATCTAATTTTTTCCTGCATATACATCATTAACATGGGTTGGAAAATTGCCTCTTTATTTATTTCCGTGAAATTGTCCTGTTTCCAAAGGAGTCAGTGAGTGGCCTAGAATAATCATTTAACTACTTGTCCTACTAATTCAATTATTGCAGTAAATATGCAACCTCCTTCTCTATCACAATCCAATTCTCATGAACCTTATACTCAGGTGAATAGGGTAAGTGCAGTGAGCACGCTATCAGGTCAGCTGGTGGCACCAATTTTGACTTGCAGCTATCCTGCACCTGTATGATTATCATGCCATTTTGTACGAGAAAATAATAAAAAAAAACGGCGACGATTTCAATAAAATTACATTACGCAGATGAAGAAATCGGAGGGGCAAGGGTGACTTGCCCCCGCCCCCGCCATTTCGCCCCTTTGAAGTTATTGCTCAGTTGTTAAAAGCAGGTCATAATATTACTTTATAAGCTCATGCTGCATGCCATATGATTTTGGCACTTGGGTTTTGAATTGATTTTGCCAAGAGGTTATATATGAGGACACGACCATCACTCTTTTAAACTTGGCATCAGTCATAATCGCAGTGACCTGGTGGGTTAAATGTCACCCGGGCCCCCTCCCGTCGCTTTCCCCTTCCACTGTTATACGTTGCTTCCCATGGTTCCCATTTATCAGTGCAAACTTTTTGTAGCTACGACACAGGAATCGCTTGTCTGTATGTAAACGCACATGTATCTTTATTTGAACTTTTGACTCAAATGAAAAATAAACTGCTCTTTCAAAGGCATACTTTAGAGCTAATTGCTGATCAGGATTGCACCCCGAGTCCAACTAGTACCGGTCTCCCCTATTTATACTTATACCGGGCTGAGCGTTAGAATGTGTTTGGTGTGCTGCAATCCTGATCAGCAACTAGCCCCGGTCTCCCCTAGTATGTGTCGTTGACTGACTTTCACAACTAACACAATTCTAAATCTTCATCTTGTTCACCCAAATGTATGGCAAAATGGTATGTCAATCTTCATTTGAATGGAACTCAGTTTCGGAGAAAAATTGATAGAATTCGTCACTTTAGACCAGGTACACTTTTCGGTTACTATATTTAATTGTCCATTATTGCTACTTCAATTTGCATTTGTACTTTACAGCCAGAATGACAACTTTGTCTCTACTTTTTCTCTGTTAAACATCGTTTAATGTTGATTGGAAAGGCACAGCCGGTCTAAAGTAAATTGTGTCGTTGAGTGACTGTCACAACTAATATCTTAATATGTTTTATCAAAAGTTTGACGTAGCTCAATAGGAATGTATTTCCAACGCTATGATTGATTACAAATCAATATTTATAGCGTGTCCGATGGCACGCAATCCATGATAAGCAATACTTCGACATTTTCTACGTGCACAGAAGCATGCATCCTCACGGGTGTTAGGATTTAGTAAATATCATTGTACGACAGTGTCTGTATTATTGGATGCGTTTATCGGAAACTATTTCGACCTCAAACAGATAAGAAACTGATTTCGCTGGCCGCTGCCAACTGTGGATCATTAATAACACTTTAGAATTAATATCCGAAATTGCATGTTCAGTGCCCGATACCAACTTCATGTAATCGTTCGTCTTGTTTAAAAATTAAAGTTTTTAGTACAGAGTGGGGCTTCTAAGTAAAGTTTCATAACTGCTTTCGTTCTTTATTTTTTATTTTCTATTCTATTCTTTTTTTACTTAATTGCTAAACAACTCCAATCGTTCTGGACAAACATGCCTGTATTCTTTTTTCCCTATGTCTATGAATATTTCAACCTCTCCTCTCCATAAAGGAAATGTACAGGTTGAAGTGTCTATGGCCCATGCAGTTACTTACATGTATATAAACGGAAAGGGATATTTAGTTTTGGGATCAGGCAGTCAAGGAAAGGATAAATAGTGTCATGATTCGATATTACTCTCGATACTCCTCTATGTT